CAAAGGGAACCCACATCCTTGGCAGGAAAGTCTGGGGTGAGGGGGAGTTCACACCAGTGCAGGGTGGTCTGAAAGCATCAGGCAGAGAGAGACTGCTGTCCCTAGGAGAGACGGCCTGTGGCTGACAGCGATGCCCACGAAGAGCTGTGGCTGACAGCAGTGCCCATGGAGAGCATGCAGTCCTTTCATTTGTAAATTTACTTAAAGCTCACGCCAAAATGCCCTTCAGAGTTACCATGTCACTACCTTAAGTGCACCATGGAGTGGCACCAAGTAACTTCATTTACTGTGTCACTGTGTCCACTGCCCCCACTGGAACTCTTGTCATTTTCCCAAGGTGATAATCTGTTTCCACTGAACACTAAGGCCCCTCCCCCACCCTGGGGACTCCATTCCTCTTCCTGTCTATGAATTTCGTGGCACTAGGAGCCTCGTAGGACCAGAATCATGCACCGTTTGTCCCTCGTCCCTGGTTTAGTTTACTAAGCGCAAGTTCCTTCCTGGCACAGTGTTACTGAGTTGGGTTTCTTTCCAGGTTTTGATGTCTTAAACACAGCCTTGAGCAGGACACCCTAGATCAGCGATTTCAGCGGATCAATGATGCATTGAAAGAGGGAAAGCAGGTCCACCACCGCAGGGGGCAGCCAGCAGGGAAGTGGTCAGAGTCCCGGGAACTTGATGCTGAGGGTGTGAAGATTTAGTATTTAAGGTTGGAGCAGGGGCTGAGTTTGAATTGTAACTCTTGCCAATGACTCAATCCTACCATCAGGCTGTAGATTTTTGACCTTTGGTGACCACTGGAGGTGCTTTCATGGCGCCCAAAGCTATGGGGCAGTGTCAAATTTGCATGGTCAGTGGGCATGTTGATTAGAGTCAGGACAGCCCACAGGACTGACCACTGGGTGCTTGCCATGGGAATTTGTGTGGAAGCTAAGCTGCCTGGTTATTTTTTCCCATTGTGTTTAGATCTGGGCATGCTTGCCGCAGGCTAATGATTAACTCGGAAGGCAGATGTGGGCCCAGAAAGCAGGTTGCAAGGCAGGCCCGGCCTTCTGTCCGAGCCATTTCCTCCTGTCTTAGATCTAGGCCAGAAAGCTGACTCTAGGACAGGTGACCCTTCTTCCTTCTGTCTGCAGCCTTTTACCTCACTACCTCCCACTTCAGTAGCATGTGTCAGAATCCCTTTCTTTTCAAACACTGAATAATATACCACTGCATGGACTTACTAGATTTTTTAATCCATCCATTTGTCAAGGACCATTGGGAAAAAGCCCAATTGCTTCAACACCATAGATGATCGGCTTGTTAAGTGGTGGCTTCAGGTGACAGCCACAGTAGGATAAGCGAACTACATCACTGGGCAAAGGCAAAGATAGGACTTCACCTCCAACTGAGCTCTTGGCTTGAGATGTTACCTCAATTCGGTGGTTGGAATTAAGTGCTGGAGCTGGAGTGGTACAGCAGCTGAGGAGCTTAAGCCCCAAGAGTTCTGTCGGGACAAGAGCTTGGCCTCCATGTACTTCTTGCATGGATCAGCTAAAAGCAGCCAAACCCAGGTGAGGTGAATTTTGAGAGATCCGCACTGCCATCCTAAACACAACCCAACATACACCATCCTGGAGACATCTACCAGCTTCTGGAACCAAATTAACAGCAGGGGTTACAGGGGCATTTCCAGGGAAGCTTGTCCTCCTGAAACCCTTCCAAGAGAAAGCCAGGGGAGCGAGGAACCAGGAAGAGCTCTAGAGGGGAGAAGTGTGGTGGCTGGAGCTGCAGGAAGGCTGACCCAGAGGGTGAAGCTGAATTGAACCAGCCAGCTTGGTGAGGACTGTGGGATGTGATTCATCAATCCCTCCACTGCAAAGACTGGGAGCCCTTCCAACTGTGCGCCAGGGCGCTGCGGATCTGTTGCAGCCTTGTGGCTGCCTGGTGTTTTCCATGGAGTCTTTTCCTGATGGAGTCTTACTGACCTCTCTTGGCCTTTTGTGTTTACAGCTCTGAGTCTCAAGGCATCAGAGGGGCCAAACTTGGAGGGGAAGGACATGAACTCAGTCTTTACCATTACCATGGCTGCATGGGGGGCCTGGAAAAGCACCTGGGTCTCAGGGCACAGAGGTCACCAGGGGATTAACCCACTGAGCAAGATGCAAGGAGGTGGCCAATAGGAGGTGGGTGATGGGGGCTGCCTTTGTAGGGCGATCCCTCAAGGTGCTCTTCCCCTGAGCTCTGCTCTAGACCACCATGAAGGGAGCAGCTTTGCCTGACGTGCTCCACTTCGTGGAGCAAACCACGGACTGTATCCTCTGAGACCCTTCTTCCTTTAAGGTGTGGGTATCAGGATTTGTGCCAGCCACAGGAAACCTGGCTGCACAGGGGTGTAGCTGGAGAGAGTGGATTGTGGTAGATGCTGTTTCTGTCTAGTGTTTATTCTCTCCCAGTTCTTGCCAATAGGGCCAGTTTTGTTGGAGGTAATAATATACACAGCTAAAAAACAAATGAACAAATAAAAAACAAACCAACAAATATAACTTCCCAGGATTTAAGTGTCTTCACTGCAGATTAATCTTGTCATCTAATCTCTTGTTAGCTTCTCCAGGCTTTGAAAAGCCTATTTGCCTTTTATGCTTTTCTCTGTTCTCTGTTCCATTTAGGAATGAAGAGATGATTGTTGAAGCACAGGCAATCATCTTGCAAGCACGGCAATGAATATTCCATGGTGGGGCCCCTGGGCAGCCAAGGTCAACTGTGTCCACCTTTGGCTGCCTCTCTGGACTCTCTGTGACATGGGACAAGGAGGAAATCCTCCACTGTGGTTCAAGCCTTTGAGTTTAGAGTCCCTGGTAGCTGATGCAGTCCTTAGGTTCGAGAGGCCTGAATTTCTGAGGCCCAGATGGATTGCGTATGGTCAGGAGGAGGGCCAGGCACTCCTCACAGAGGCAAAGCAATTTGCCAGAACCAGGAAATGGGGGTGTCCAGGCCTCAGGATATCTCTCCCGCCAACCCTGTGAGCTGCACGTCCCACTTCCTGTCAGGACCCTGAGAAGGCGACAGCCAGTCAGTCGTCTTAGGGGATGCTGCCAGCGTAGGAGAGGGGTGGAGTAGGAACAACTCTGGGAGTGGCAGCCCAGCTCGTCTGCCATCTGCCGTGGCCATGAGGTCTTTCTGCCTGGGAACAATAGAAGACCATCTGGGAAAGAAATGTCGGGGACACTGGGGCGTCCAGGAGTCAGAGAGGCGGCTGGAGGAGAGAGTAGAGTGGGCAGCTTAGGGCTGGAGTGGGAGGCATCAGGGCCAAGGGCTTGACAGTTCAGGGGACTCCCTGCCGGGAGGTGCGATAGCTCCAGCTGTCTTTCCTTTCCAGGAAGCCCCAGAGGTCCCTATGCACGTTGTCATCAGATGCCAGAGTTGCCATCAATTTGGGCAGGGATGGCAGCAACCCCAAAGTCACTCTGCCAGACCCGGAATTAGTGAGAACCTTAGCTTCACAGGTCGCTCCAGATGCAGGGTGGGGGCACCGAGGGTCCCAGCCAGGCCATGGGGGGGGGGGAGGGACAGAGCTTCTTTAGCGGATTCTCTGAGACACAGTGGCCCAAGGGGTGGCTGCTAGTTTGGAAGAGCATCTGCCCAGCACAGGAAACTCAAGTCTACGTGGGAAACTTGGTGTCATGGAAGCTTTGCTGTAGAGATAATTCCCCAAATTGCTGAGGGACAAGGTCAGTGAACCTATCATCCGCAAGTTGAAAAAACGCACTGCTACGTGTGGGCTGCGAGCATCTTAGCCTAGCAATGCAGCCCGCTGCAGTGTCCCTTGATCCCGCTCTGACTGTGGCACTGACCTTGGGCTTCGGCGCGCTGCTGATGCTCAGCTGTGCCAGCCCAGCAAAAGATGAACTTGTTAAAGGTCTGGTCACTCATTTGCCAGTGTAATGAAGGGATGTGTGAAGTTGTGGACAGTTCCTGCATCCTGGGGACAGGAGAGAGCTGTGGAGAGAGACTGGAGACTCCAGCACACCAACCACAGTAGCTGTTCGCTTTTTTGGCATCTCCTGTGCCCAGAATAGTAGCAGACGTAGAAGGAGAACTAATGTTTGTCATTCATAGGCCAGAACTACTATCTGTTGAATTCACGAAGGAAAGAAGCCCGAAAGTGGCTGTAATCCTGTCCCCAGCAAGCCAGATCTTGTGGTCCTCCTCTCTGTACATATTAAGTCAATGTTTCTTTCAAACCCAGGTCCCTGGACCTCAGCCTGAGTGACACTGGGGGCTGGGTCATTCTTTGCCTTTGTCACAGGGGTTTTTTGTACATTGTAAGGTATTTAGCAGGGTCCCTAGTCTCTATCACTGGATTCTGGTAACTTCTCTTCTTGAGTCCTGGCAACCAAAACATCTCCAACCCCTGCCCTGTGGAAGGGCCAGCGGCCCTGCTCATGGCTTCCTGTTTGTCTTCCAGCTTGGGGCAGTTGGAATGTCTCTCTTTCTTTGGTGGTGAACGGTGGGACAGCCTAGCTCTGTCTTTTTGGTTATCCTGTGTTTCATTTAGTCTCTCATGGTTGTGGAGTGGATTAAAGTGGGCATTGGTGCACGCACATACTGTTCCACCCAAGTGGGAATGTTCTCTCCTCTTGTCCTTCAAGAGCGATGTCCTCCTCCAAGCACAATGGCCTGGGCAGCTTGAATGCTTTTGTAGCACTGACCATCAATAAGCCTCACTTGGCAGGTTCTACTTTGGTCTGTCACACATTGGTCAAACTTCTGCCAGGCAACAGTTCCTTTATGGCCTTGTCTCTTGTCTCTGCTATTTGATGAGAGTTTTGGGGGTTCCTTTGTATTCCCTGGAATGGCTCAAGAACAGCTAGAATAAGAATGGATTTTTACAAACATGGAGACATCTCTCCTCAATTGGTGCATTGGCCTTTGAAGCTCGACCTCACTAGTCCTCAGTGCATTTTTAGAGTTTTGAATGACTTTGGCAGGTTCACTGTAGGGCAAAGTCTTCGGGCCATGTAATGATGGACATACATGCGGCCCTTCTTAGAGGGAGGGTGGCCTGGGTCCCTACTTCCTGAGGTGATCCAGGTTGACTCCTGTTATGCTAAGGTGGCTGACAATGTTCCCATTCACCCTCTGAAGTGCCCTGGTTTGGTGACAAAGTATAGGGCCACCCACTCAGAGCTACTAAGTCTACTCCCCTTATTTTATAAATACGCATATTAAGCAAATGACAGTTTCCCTTTCCTTGCAAAATATTTCCCCACGTTCTCCTGAAAAACAGGCACAGGCCTTGTGAGCCTGCTCGCATGTTCAGTGGGATGGGCACTGGTGAAATTCAAGGGCTCAATACAGGTGCAGGAAATACCTTCAGGTCCTCTGTGTCCCTTGTAATCTATGCTTTTTGTGAGGGATCTAGACTTGAGCTGGCGCTGCTTGGATGTGACCATGCTTGCTATGACTTATTAAAATCCTCAGGCAGCCCCAGCTTTCCCAGGCAGAGCAGCCTCCGCCTGTCACCCCATCCACACGCATCTGACCCTGGGGACGGGATTCCTTGTCTGGGAGCTGGCAGCTCAGCCGTGCGATTTCACCACAGGATGGATCAGTTTGAGACTGAGCACACATCTGTTGCCTCTCTATGTGTCCTCAGCCACGAGGGCGCCCACAGTGTGGCCCTTCCACCTGATTGGTTTCCAAGGAGGAACCTGCCCAGGGTCACAGTTCACCCCTTCTTGGGCAATCGGCACCCAAATAGGTATAGCTGTTTAAAGACAGTTTCCTGTCCTCAGATTGGGTAATTTCAGGCCATAGGTCCCATAGGTGTTGCCAATTTAAGACCAAAAGATGGCTTTAATGTAACATGAGTTGGGAGAGCCCTCCAAGGGCAGGCTGGTAGGGAAAGGGCTTGGTGGATGGTTTTCCTCAAGACCGGGGGGTACTTCTGGCCTTGGGCTCCTGATTTATGTCCATGCCAGTTCTCCAATCTCCTTTTCTGCTTTCTTCAGAGCAGTGACAGTCACCCCCTTTTCCTTGATGTCCCCACTCGGGACATGATGTGCCTTCTTGGTATCCACAGGGTTCTGCCTATTGTTCCCCAGATGGCTGGAATGGAGGGGGCCCCTGGTACTTGGAGGCCAAGAACAGTTTGTGGAGCCCCAAGAAGCAAATTCTCTGCAGATGGTGTCCCCCTAATCCTCTTGCATTTCTCATAATCCAGCTCAGTTCTGAGGATACTGGAGGTGGCAGTTGGGTCTCCTTGAATGTGTGTCATCTGCTTGGTATCCACTTGCTGGGATGGGGTTGTCCAGGGGGACACACCAGCTGCAAGAGAGGCAGTGTCCCTTTAGCCTGTCCTTCCCTTGCTGGACGTCACCCATGCTCAAGGCTCTGGGAGTGACACCATGCCCATGAGCTCCCTGCACCACGGTGAGCTGGCAGCTGCTGGTCTGGCGGGGTCAGTGTCCGAGGGGCAGGGCAAGGGAGTTCTGGCTCTGGGAAGTCCCTGGAGACAGAGGTACTGCCTGTGCAGCAGGCTGGCGGGGATGCAAGGTCAGGCCTCTTCCTGCAGCCTGCCCAGGGCGGGTCGTGTTGGAACATGGGGTGGCAGGGTTGCAGGTTGCTGCTCGCTGATTTATGGGATGTTAACATCCCAGCCTGTCTGGTCCTCCCACCTGGACCTGGAGGGCGAACAATGCAGGGGCTGGAGCCAAGAATCCCTCCAGAGGCCACTCCTGGGGCTCTGCACTGGAGGGGTGGGACTGTCCCAGGGCTCTGCAGATGGGGGACAGCTGGGCCTGAGTGGCTTCTGGGGAGGGGGCCCGTCTGCTGCTCAGAAGTCTCTGAGGAGCCAGGGCAAATGCAGAGGCCAGGGTCCCTAGGGAGGGCCTCATCCAGTTTCCCCACCTGCGTCAAGGTTGACATCTGTGCCCTTTCTGAAACTGAGGCTTTGTCCATGGGGAGGATTCTCCCTGCTGGCTGGGGACTGTTGCTACCCTCCTGGCTGAGGCATATTGATGAAGCCCACGGGTGGGGTGCTTGGGGACTTTGTGTGGAGTGTAGATGCATGGCTGAATCTGTGTCCCTCAGTCCTGCCCAGCGTGGTTGTCCCCGAGCCTTGGCTCTGTGCCATCCCACCACCCACACCCTCCAAAGGCTCCCTGCAGGGAGGAGGATGTCCCACTCCCAGCTGCTGCAGAGTGACTAGGACGGGGTGAAGGCCACACACCCTGGTGACACAGCCAAGGAGGAGGCTCTGGGGGGACACCCATCCCTCCCCGGGGTGGGGGGCATACAGCCCAGAAATACATCTCAGTCCCATGGCAAGTATGTGCCATGGAAGAGTGGGACCTCCATCATTCTTCTGTCCCCTCTTAGCCACAGAGGCACCTTCCAGATGGCCTAGGGAGTCAGTGACTGCCAATGGGCCTGCCTTCCTAACCCAGGGGAAGAGACGAGCTCAGAGCCATTCTCAGGACCATTCCGTTCAGTGTGTGTGCATGTGCGTGTGCGTGTGCATGTGTGTGTGTGTGTGTGTGTGTGTGTGTGTGTGTGTGGTGTGGATGTGTGCAAGTGTGGATGTGTGTCCATGCAGTGCACACGTGGTGTACTCACATGTGACGTATGTGGGATGGGGCAGCCCTGGCCTGGAAGTCACATGCACATCGCAGTGCTGGCCAGCCATGTGGTGCTCTGCTTTCTGGGCCTCAGTGTCCCAGAGGGAACAGAGGGGACATATTAAAGGGACCCGGGGTTCTCCATGGCTTCATGACCCATGCATGCGGTGCCAACAGCTTTCCCACTCCAGTTAAGTCACCGCACTGCTTCCAACCTTTCCCTGTAAAACACATTTTCCAATCCTTTAATCATCTTGCTTATTTTCCTCTGAACTCGCTCCAAGAGCCCTGTGTCACTGGATAAGTATGTCATATAAATTAGTCAGTAAATCAATCTGTCAGCGGACGTTCTTGAGCAAGCCCCGCCTGGCTCACTGGAGGTATAGGGCTGTTACCATCCAACCACACAGGAGCAGAAAGGGTTTCCACCCTGCCTCAGACCCCAGTTCACTAGCAGAGCGGAGCCCGAGGCACTGGGGGCACACTGGGAGGATGTCCCTCCACTGAAGGCCATGTTCCCCAGAGATCAGGGCCTTTCCTGGTCCCAGCTGTAATATTGGGAAATGCTACACATCAACATCCGTTGGGCACCTGCTCGGTGCAGAGCTCTGCTGGGCCCCGTGACAGTAATGACAATGGGCTTGAAGCAGTCCGTGGCCACCAGGGGTGGAGGCAGGGGCTAGAGGAGGGTAAAGGGGCCCAAGCTGGGAGTCCCAGACTTGAAGGCTGAGGCAGGATGATGCAGTGCAGATACAGCATGATGGATAACGAAGTCAAATGGCTCGAGGGACTGGGGTGCAGATCTTTATTTGAAGGGCAGTTTCATCACTGTTGGCTTGTGAACCTCCGGCAACTCATCTAACCTTTCTGAGCCCTGAACTCTCTAAAAGGACAGTGGAGGACAGTACCCACCAGGAAGAAACTTTTTTAACTTAGAATTTAAAAGCATTTTATTAGTGGGTTTTATGAGATGTCTTCGTATGTGCAGATAACAGACTTGGTCATTCCCACCCGTCCTTCCTCGCCTGCTTCTCTTTCCTCCTCTTCCTTATTCCCTAGGGTTTAAGCTCCTAGTATGCCTGCACACAGCAGGCGACCCGAAGCCTCCTCCCCTTCCTCTTGCTTGTGGATCTGTCCCCCTTGAAGGACCATCTTTTATTTATTTATTTATTTATTTATTGGTACCAGATCGAACTCCTAACCTCACGCTGGCCAGGGAGGTGCTTATGCTGCTGAGCAAAATCCTTGGCCTACCTATATTTTTGGAGGGGAGATATTGGGGACTGAACTCCGGGCCTTCACATCGAGCTACATTCTCAGCCCTTTTTAAAATTTCTAAATTTTTTTGTTTGGGTCTCGTTAAATCTCTAGGTTATACAGCCCAGCCTTGAATTTGCAATCCTCCTGCTTCAGCCTCCCAGAATGCTGGAATTACAGGGGTGTATCGCATACCTGGTTAGGCTTTTGTTTCTATAGTGTCTCCTATGCTTTGTGAATGCTCTGTCTTGGATCAGCAGTGTATTGCTTATCTTAACACCCATTTGCTGTACTGGAAGAACACTGGATCCTTGATCCAGACCTGTGCTGACCTGGTAAGGGAGTGTCCGACATCCGTCCAGAGTCCTGCTAACATGCAGGTTGCTGGGCTCCGCGCCCAGCGCTTATGATTCAGTGAGTCTGGATGGCTGATGGTTTACATCTCTAAAATAAAGCTGAGGCCCAGATCCAGGTCTTCAGTGCCTGGGGTGGGTACTGCGTATAGGAAAATTGTCCTAGAGGTCAGTGGCGCTTGGCTGAGCGGCTGGCCCTTCTGAGCTGCTTCTTTGTAAACCTGTACCTTACAGACCAGGTGCGCTGTAAGGTAGTAATTAGACTCACTGTTTAACAGCACTTTGTAAACTATAAAACACAATATGCCTATTAATAGCTTAATGTTCCCCTTCAGCTTTAACTTCCCTGTAAAGTGGGGATGATGATAGTAATTTTTATAAAGATCAGGTGAGATGATCTACATAAAGCGCACTGTGAACTGTAAAGAACCAGAGTCTTGTTCTTTTTACTTCCCTAAGCCTCAATCTCCTCGTCCATGGTACGGCAGGATGCCCAGCGGGCCTGGCCCAGTGCCAGCCCTGGTCACGTGGCAGCTCGAGGTTACAGAGGTGTATCGTGCAAACTTGGACTAGCAGGCTGGCTGCTCTGTGCTGCGTCCCTCTGGCCCCTTTGGTCAGAGCTGATGTGCCACCAGCTAGGATGTGCTGGCTGTTGGCAAAAGAGCTGCCAGCTAAAAATGGCTCTTTTAATTCAGAGCTGGTTGTCTGTAAGCAAGATGTCCAGAGGCGGGGTGGTTTGGAGTTGATGAGGAGACACTGGCATTCTCTTAGCTTTCTTTTCATGGTGAGTCAAGGCCCAGAAACACACGCACCAGACTTCTGCTGGCCAGTGGGAGGGGGCGTGGGAAAGGCTGGAGAGAAGATGACCAAAGGGGTCTGCAGACTCTGGTATCTCTTTCCGATGGGACTGGTGTCCTGTTGATAAAACATATATTAGGAGACCTCCCTGGTGCTGGGTGCATGGCCAGAGAGGCCCCTGCAAGACCCCCAGAGCTCACCTGGGCCCTCAAGAGAGAACCCTGAGCTTCCTGACAGCCAGAGCCTGGAGTCCCCACCAAATCAGCTCTTATCCCGGTGGAGTGGGCAGGGTGTTGGGGTCACATGATGCCCTGGCCCCTGGGGATTCACAAGTGAGTTCTGTCATGTCTCCTCCAAGTGTAGTACAGTCCTGGCACCTGCAGGAGGCCCCTGACAAGGACTTGAGGGCCAAGGATAGAAGCGCAAAGGCCATGAGTGAGTGGAATAGCAGGGTCAGAGAAGAGCGCAGGGAAGACCTTTATCAATGGGTTAGCTTTGTTGGCATCTGAGAAAGTCACATCTGTGGGTTTTGGACTTGTCCTCCTCTGTGAGAGTGTTACATCCACTGGAAGGGTGGATCCAGGATTTTCTAGGGAAGGGAAGCCTCCATGAGCTTCTCTTTCCCACCTGGGCGCAGGGGAGAACCTTCTTGGTGTCCCCAGAGCAACCATGCAGGACCCAGGAAGCTAGGAAGGTGCAGGGCTGTGTCTGATTTCCCTGGTTGGTGGTGTCAGTCACGATTGGTGATGGTGACCTCCCTAAAGGAGTCCCCAGCCTGTACCTTACAGCCAGCAAAGAAGCAGTAAGTGTGAGCATGAGTAGACCCCTTACCCTTTCAGTGCAAAGCCCCCGTGTTCCTGGGAAAGACATGGAGGCCACAGGAGAAGAACCGTCCTGTCCTGCTGCTCTGTGTGGTGCTTGTTTGCAAAGCTCAACAAGGGACATCAGGAGGGCAGCAGTGATGCCCAGGACACTGGATTTTAGAGCTGGCATCCCAATTCTGTTGGTGCCCAGGGTGCCTGAAGCATGTTAAAAATGCAGAGCCTAGGGGTGGGTGCTGGTGGTCTCACTGAAAAACAATCACAGGTTTCCTAGCAGCAGAAAACAATAAATTTTTGTGAGGCCATGGAGTAACTGGAACCCCTGTGCTGTGGGTGAGAGAGAAAAGGAATGGCCTCTGTGTACAACTATGTAGAGCATCCATGAAAAGGAAACCCAGAATCCCCCTGGGTTCCAGGAATCACCTTTCTGAGACTTGCCCCCAAGACATGGCAGGGCCTGGGATACTTGCACAGCCATGTTCATGGCAGCATAATAATCCCGATGGCCAAAAGTGGAAACCAGCCATGTGTCCATGAAAGGACAAGTGGGGATCCAAATGTAGGCTGTCTGCCTGATGCCACAT